AAGCTGATAACAGGCACTCCTGACTGTCGCACTCACCTGACTAGTCATTGAAGTGACGAGTCAAGGAGTACCCCCAAACTGCGAACTGGGGACTGTAATCCCAAATCTGGTTTCGGGCCTGTAACAGTGAGTACGTCTGTTTTGTCTGGATTCAACTTCAATCTTTTGGAGCAATGTTTTATTCAAACAGTTTTCAGACCAATAGTTTACTCTTTTGAGATTTGAGCAGTATACCTGTTATGTTCTGAGACAGGGATAAAGATTTCATTTTACAGAAGCTAAGCAATTGCAGCCTCTATGCCAGTAAACAGGAAACTAGCTCTATGGATGCAGCTGTGACTTCTTGAAGCTTATATCTTATTAAAAAGAGAATCATTTGTTTGAATTGCTACTTCTTTGTCATTATGAATACCTGGTTTGGAGATATAAATGACCTTAGTAAACAATCCCAATGGGAGAAAGGGTGATAAATTGAAATTGAAATACCTACCTCATCATTTCTAAACAAGGTGACTTAGATTATCTTAAATAATTTGCTATACTGCTTTATAAAAATGACTATTGTAGTAGCTCCCATCTTCCACTCCAACTCTTTTGTTCCTGCTCCTATGGGTCTCACATTCATGCATCTTGAATTAATACCTGCACTGGTGGCACAAAAGTACACCTGTTATTCACAACTATCTCATTTTTCTGTTTCAAAACCAAGACTTTTGAATTCTGACATGGTAATTCACATTATGCTGAGTTTTGCCTATAAAAAGCATTTGCAGCTAAATTATTTTGCAAGATTACTTGGAGGAATATTTAAGTCCCTCCATGGGCAATTCAGGCACAGGTGTGTTTTGTTATGTGAGTTGGTTGTCCAGCAATCAGATTCCAATTACATCTGCTGCTAATAATGAGTCACCAGTAGCAGTCCAAATTAGGCGTACACATTTCAGTTATTGTGACATGCAGGATGGAGCAGTATCACTCTGGCATGCTGTCTAGTGAATATGATGTAGAGGAGAGGCAGAGTCTAAAGATGTATGAAAAAAGGGGGTGGTGAGTCTCATGTTGTGGGGGGGGGGGAGAAAAAATAGCACAAAATCTTTCTATTAAGAAATGTTTGTATGGTGTCCCTCAGTGGTTCTGAAAGAAAGAGGGCAAATACATAGACATTAACACAAAATATGAACTGAATAAATTATAAAGTTACCAGTTATGTGTACCAAAGCCTTAATGAAGATTTGCACCTTATTTCTCTGCTTTCAGTTCAGATTTCCACACACTTCCCAAGCGCCTTCTGTGCTGCCAACTTGCTAAGATTAAGACAGCCTTGATAGATACAGGTTGAGTCTACCTTATCTGGAATTCCAAAACATTGTAAAATGCAAAATTGTCCACATGGGTGGCTGAGATAGTTACACCTTTGCTTGTTGATGGTTCAATGTACACAAATTTGGTTTCATGCTCAAAAATATTGGCTATGTGTTTAAGGTGTATAGGAAACATACATTGATTGTTCCATCTCCAAGATATCTCATTATGTATAGGTAAATACAGTATGCCCTTAGTATACGTGGGGGATCCGTTCCGGATACATACACACCATATGGGAAAAATGGAGGACCTTAAGTCCCGTTGGTTTCAATGGTGGTGTGCACACAATTTTGTCCCCTCAGGCTTGCTATCCGCGTGAACTCAAGTCTGCGGATGGCAAGCCCACGGATGGTGTGGGCAGACTGTATTCCAAAATCCAAAAAACTCCAAGATCCAAAACACTTGTGGTCCCAAGCATTTCAGAGACTCAACCTGTATAGAAAAATCTGTAAAAGTATAATATTCTACCTCATTCTGAAAAACTACTAGTTTGCATCCACAAGATTGGAAACAAACATTTTGGAAAATTTTGCGGGCAGATGTTCTAGTTGTTTTATAAGTATATTGAGTTCCTACATGAGGAATTTGTTGTATGCCTTCAAGTAATTTCTGACTTAATGGCATCCCTAAGACAAACTTATCACAGGAGTTTCCTGTTAAGATTTATTCAGAGGACGTTTGTCTTTGCCTTCCTCTGAGATTGAGAAAAGATGACTTACCCAAGGTCACCTAATCGGTTTCCATGGCAGAGCCAGGATTCAAACCCTGTTCTCCAGAGTCCTAGTCCATCATCCAAACCACTACACCATACTGGCTCTCACATAAAGCTTAAATAGCATAAAGTTTCATATGAGAAAATAAGTGTTAATTGTGCTACACAATTCTTGTATTAAATGGCAGCATTGTACAATTGAAGTAGTATCACCATCAATTTAAGCAGAGTCAGATAACTATTGGATGAAAATTAAATGGTCACATGGATAACCACTGGTTAAAAATGCATATCCACATGTGCTATATTACCACATGTGCAACTCTGCTCTTTTTCTCTGTTCTTTCTCTTCTCCCTTAAAAAGGTGGATGGGACTGGGTCATCCCCACCAATTGTTTCAATGTCTTAAAGCTTGTGGAAATGCTTAGCTCAAAGGATGCTTGTGAGAGGCTGGGTGACTTGAGGATCATTTTCACGTATATATATATATCAGTATTGGAGGATCCACGTTTGATGAATAAAATTTTTTATTTAGAAATGTGCAAGAGTGTAACCAAACACATGATAGTAATTCAGACAGACACACCACTCAGAGCTAACTGAAACAGATACAGAAATTGGATAGTCGAGATTTATGGTTGTAAAGGAGTGACATTTACCTATCCTGAAGAGGACACCATGGAAAGCAGAGTATGTCTTCAGTGATGTCTGAGGGAGACACAGGCACACTGTGTGCACAAGGGGACTTATACATAAGTTCCTAGACACAAGGGGTGCTAGATGATGTTTTGCAAATTAGCAAAGACCTGATGGTCTTCTCATGCAACCAACAATGGGATTGTGAAAAGACTGACAAATTTTGGATTGACAAATCAGTGACTGGATTTAAGATTGGATTTTCCCATTCTTGAAAAGATGTGGGACAAACCCAGAGAAGCCCAAGTTCCATATGGGCTGCATACTGCCCAGCAATGGGTGAATGCGATAAGATCTGTCCTCTCACAATCTCTCTCTCTCTCTTTTCCCCCTCCCCGTCGATTCTTTTTGTCATATTCATGCTTCCAAATCTAAGTATATAGTGAAATTATCTGTTAAAACTGTGGTCGAAATGACAGAAACACAATTTAGATATCCATATTATATTTACAGTATATGGTGTATCTTTATGCTTAAAATTGTTTCTGGAACATCCCTCCCTCCATGGCAGACTTGCCAAAATGCACTGATTTTTTTCCCTTTTATTTGAAACTGAGAATCCAGGTTTCTCCCTCTCAGAGTTACACTTCAGAATGTGTAACTAAGAAACAGCAGCAAAATAAACCTCTTGTTTTTATGTGCAAGATCATGGTAGGTGCTTAGAAGTTCAGCAGACTGTGAATTGTGCAGTATTGTCTCAGTGGCTGAATTTAGAGGCAAGTGTGACGTTTCCTAATGATCGTGCACACACTTCTGTTTGGGAATTAGAACTATATTTAAAAGTAATTGAACCATTCTCATTCAGTTTCAGATTGCTCTAAAATGTTTGAAAGATGAGAACATTTCAGTTAAATCCTCATGGATGAATCTTGGGGTTCTTATGTTTATCTTACTTACAAAGTGGTCCTGTAGTGCATATGACTCTTTCACTGTCTATTTATCTCACTAGCAGCTGACCGTCTCTCTGATGTCCAGCACTTCTGTTAAAACCTGGAGAAGAGGTCATGAAGTAATGTCTCCCCCACTGGGCAATTGCAGATCAGCAAGCAGGGAGAGAGTGAAGGTTAGATGTGTAACAAAAACAGAAGAAAATACAGCAACCTTAATTACTTCATAACTATAAAATGAGCTTGAAACAACATTTTTCTGAAAACTAGGGAACAGATTTGGACACAATGCTAGGCTCCCATTTCTTACCTAATGCTGGACATAACAAGCCTTTCTTCAACAGATTTTAGAATGCTAGATTTGACAATTAATTTATTTATGTTAAGATTTATGTTATTTATGTTAAGTGGGGAAATCACTAGCACAATCAAAATTGCTTGATTCATTGAATTTACATTACTCCTTCAGTATTGACATTCAGAATGGGCCATGGGATTGCTGGGAATGGCAAGGAAGTTGTTACTGTAGACCCCAGAGATACATTTGGTTGTTGGTGTGTTCAAAGCTGCTCATTTTTTATTGATTTTGCAATTTTTAAAAGAAAGTTCTTTAAAGAACTTAAGAGGTTGTCTAATTCTTGACCTACTGCATCTCTATGGTCTGTGTAATTTAACACTAACATATTAGCAGAACACTAACATTACCATTTCCAAGTTCTATGTTAAACTGTGGAAAGAAAAGTTGTTTTGGAAGCAGAGCAGCAGTGCTCCCTTTCCACCCCTCAAAGTGCATCATAGCCAAGGCTGGTTAGTTTATTTAGGTTACTTGAGACATATAATTGTATTAAGTATATTTCCCCTTCCATATCAGTACAATGGAACAATAATTAGTTAAATAATAATCTGTTGTCCTTTCAGAACAGGGGAAATGAGCTACCTGAGGCATTGCTATCTCCTATGAAGTTTGAGGCATTGAGCCAATTTCATTTTTAACTAGCCTATGATTGGCCAGAGATGGGAATGTTAGTATAAAAGGCTTGTTTCATGAACTGTTACTGAGCTCAAAAATCTGTATCATTTCTAGTTCAGTTTCCAGTCTTTTAAATTTCCTGAGCCCATTTTATCATACAGTTGTCATGAACTAAGGTTCTCTGTTGTTCTTTTGTTCCAGAGAGAAATTTAGCCACCCTAGACTATAGGATTTTTAACAAAGACACATGGGAAACCAGATTTGGGTTTAGACACTATGCATGTAACATTTATTAAGACATAACAAATAAGACAATAGGACAATAAGAAATAACAAATAAGACAGCCATTTTAAGTATCAAGAGCTCTCAGTCACACATCCATTCATCCATCTACATACACACACACTAAGTGGCAGTTGGTGGGAGTCCTGTTACCGTGGATCCAGGAACATACTACTAGTTGGGAAAATCTCATCTTTTAAAGTCTTTGGATAGTATTGGCCTACCTCCTCCCTTTTGGTTTCTGTCCACAAACTTTCAAACCAGCCCTTTCTGGTCCTTTTACAGTGAAACAGAAAACACTCCAAGTTCTATCAGTTTTAGTCCAAACATCTTGTTATCTTCTTGCTTGCTACCCGAACCTTTTGAATGACCTGTTCTCCCATAGATAACACAGGCAGCTGCATCCTTGCTAGGATACACCAACATCAGCAGTTTTAAAATTCTCATCTTGCTTGCCAGGAACCTCTCATATCATGCATTGCGGTTCTCCATTTTTTTTATTTTTTTTGCTCATTTTCTTAATTAGTCCATTAGTGCCACTAAAACAAGATCCATTCACTCCTCACACAGTCCTTTATCAATTCGTTCTCTGTTTCCATTTTCAACAGCATTTTATATATTTTAGATATCAACTTTTCTTCCTCTATTAACAATATTTTTCCGAGTCTAATTGTTTTTTCATAAATCCATATAATTTTTTGTCCATTTTATATCTTTCATTAATTTTGTCAATATCTGAACCAGTTCATACTATATCCTTCTTCAAGCAGTTCTTCGTTCATCTTTATTCTGGTATTGCTTTCTTGATCTATAACCAAAACATCTGAGTATTTCAACCAGGGCTCTTCCACAATGACCTCTGTGCAGTGAAATGCTTCTGTAGGTGAGCACCACAATAGGATGTTTCTGCTCATATGTATTTTGTACTTATTCCATACCCTGAGTAATGCCTTTCTTGGGATATGGTTATAGTGAACTGAACTGGCAAAAAAGATTAAAACATACACTATCAATGGATTTGAAAGAAAACTACTACAAAATCCAGAAACAGAATCCGGAAACAGAAACAGAAACAGAAAATGCAGGCCCAAGACTAACATCTTCATTTTTTTTCTCCTGTTTGCCTGATGAAGAAGCCAGTGTGACTTTGGGGGACTGCAGACGGGAGGCTCTGGGCTGCCCTGGGAAGCGGTGGATCAGGGCCATGGCTACCCTACGCCATGGCCCCGATCCTCCCTTTTTCCGCCCCGAAAAGAGTGGCAAAATGTGCCCCAATCTCTCCACAGTTGCCCAATTCTGATTTACATTAATGTTAAATAGAGAAAAAGAATGATAAACACTTTCAGTTTGTTGCTAATCTTTGCTGTCAACAGTTAATCTTTGATGTTAGCATTAAAAACCATCAGATTAGCAGAGAAAATGGCATACAATTCTTGGGTTGACATTGTTGCCCCACAAGTGGCTGGCTCCTTCAAAAGTTTGATTTTCCATTGCTTTCCCCAACTGGACACTTTTGATATACAATCAAATCCCACAGTCTGCTGGCTGTTGCTGGTGGGGGTTGTAGTAGAACACTTTTGGAAAGTGTCAAGATGTGGATGATGAGAACGATAATGATGATTTCTTATTTCTTATCTCTTCCTATGGATCAAGATGGGGAACAACAACAACACAACACATAACATCAGTTGAAAGAGTATATAAAACCAATACATATTAAAATCCATCAATAAATACTTTAAAATCTATAGTTACATGGGCCTGCTGGAAGCGACTGGTCTATACTACTGATTTAAATACAGACAGCATCTTGAGCTAATGAATCTCTTCCGTCAGGTCATTTTACAATCTGGGGGCAGATGAAGCTGTTCTTAAAGTATACTAAAGCCTTAAAACAGGCAGAAACGTGGCCCTTCAGATACTGTTGGACTACAGCTTCTACCATTCACCGTAGCTGTTGGGACTTGTAATCCAACAGCACCTGGAGGGTTACATCATTCCCACCTTTGCCTTAAAGTACCATATCTAACAATTAACACAATCAGTCTTTGCCACTGATCTGTTGCATCTCTTCTCTATTCCACCCAGTGATGTGTGTGCTGTTAGCTCATCACAAATTAGGGGAGAAAGGCACAAAACTAGAAAATATTTTTAAATGCTTCTCGAAAAGTCTAAAACTGTTCTTTAAAATAAACAAAAGGAAATAATATCTAGAATGCATTACTCATTACACCCGAACCTCTATTTTCGAACCCCTTCTTATTGCT